ACTAAAGACATCACGCTTAACAAATCCTGACAAAAATCTGCCAACTAATCATGTCATCCTGTTTTTACCTATTAATTAAAATGCAGCTACTATTGACAAATTATGGCCGTACGTTTTTGCTGAAACCGAGATATATAAATCTAAAATTCGCATGGAAATGTCTGTTCCTGGAAAAAATACAATGCAGTGAATAGGTATTTGGAACATGTAGGAAGCAATCGTGTGAACTGATTAAATCGCAAAATGTTCATCGATGTTTCTCATTATCCGGTTATTTCGTGGTTGGAATTTTTCAGTCGACAGTTTATTTTTCAATGATCTAGAGCATGTTGATAGAGTAATCTCGGTAAACACGTTGACAAAATGCACAGTTTTAAATGCTTTAGTCGAGAAATTTCAAAACATCTGTTCATGAACACTCTTCGTAAGTGCCAAGCGTGACAGTAGGGGACGCAGTATTCCACGGTGTCAACTGCTACATGTTTTCTGGAAGTCCCATTAGCCCTGGACTATGAAGCAATTGAATATAGTGTGTCAGAATGTATTAAACACAGTTCTCTGCCTAGTTGGATATGGTATATAGTTAGAATATCATTGAAGTTTTGATATTTGTTAATAGATATTTGTTATGGTACATTTCATTTGTTGTCTGTGTAGGATTAGACAGAAGAATTGTCTGCATCTACTCTAGTAGGTTGAATTGAGCTCGTTCATGGATGTTGTAGGTTGAGTATGATTTGCTTGTCTGTGTAGAAATCGTAAGATTGCGTTATGCTCGAGTTTGAGCTTACCAATTTATATGAAGTCGATATGATTGCACAAGGAAAATGCCAGTGAAAAATATAGCCAATTTAACTTGGTTTATCTTCCGTTGATTAATCTTTTTAATAAATGGTAGAAATGAGAACCGGAAAACCAGTTGGATTTATGACATGTACTTACATACGCCTGTTGCTCCTTGAGAATGTGGTCAGTTTATTGTTGTCAACTTAATGAAACCTACTTTATTCTTTAAAACGCTTTTACAGACTGACCGTATATATTTAGTTTTTACATGATTCCAGTGTTAGCAAATAATTTTAGATATGAAAGCCACCGAGACGCCATGTGCACAAAGCTAATCATAGTTGACCAAAGCATTGCTTGAACATGAGATTGATGACAGATCAGCACCTAACATCAGGTTCTTGGTATATAATTCTGATAACCCTGACAAGCGTTACATATCAGGGACAGAAGAATTTATCAAAATGCTTATGACAACAGAATGAAGCATTCACAATAATTACAGTTTAACTATCAATGTGATTCTAAGATACTAATTACCATAAATATAATCTTAACGTTCTGACAAACAATTTGTTTTTCAGAATGATCTGATGACACCTAGCATATCACCTACATATTCTGTTTCCAGAATACTTCTAGCTTATTTCAAAGACACGGAGTGAGTTATACATAATTAAATATCATTTTTATTAATAATTATAATAATTTTAGTTCATATTTTATTGGTTGTTTGAATTTTCCGATTGATGTTCGGGACTGGAAATGATCATTCTCTTATTAGCATACGAACATCCTATGCGGATTTCCTCGATGTTGTCTTACGTTACAAGCATTATAAGCATAAATGGATGATTCTGTATCACAGAATGTCTTGATTTGCACAACCAATAAAATAAAGAGAAAAAGTGAATGGCCACTTTTCTCTAGTAAGGAACTATTTAAAAGTATTCATTTAATGCTCTACAAGATTTGTTCAGTGGAATTCACTTATGTTGTGAGTTTCGTAGATACCAATGAACTGCAAGAGATCAAATTCTCTTAATGTTACGAATAAACTGAAGTTATGAATCCTGATTATTAGGTGCTAACGCATCGGTCTGACGGTAATACGATCATTGTGAAGCATTAAGGCTCTGATATTAATCTTTCGTGGGGACATATATTCCGATCCCTAAGGAGCTTCATAATTGAACGAAATAGCTGTTCAATGTTTCTTGGTTTATAAGAGTTATTCAACGGAAATGAATATGAATTTTTGACTGCATGACTTGCCAGATCATAAGTGATTACGAAATGGTAAAAACGTACAGCACTATTTTGTTAAACTGTTGTAAAGAAGGTAAAAGTTGGCAGGATAATACGGGTTTATCGCATTTTAGAGCTTCATATTAGCTTTATGAAATCTTTAGACATGAACAATATTGTGATTAGAAATGAGAATGAACTGACATTCACAACGAGACAGTGAATCATTAGTTAGTTATGAGGATGTAAACTATAACAATAAAATAGTAATTTTATGATTGAATTCATGAGTCAATGGAAACTAGACGAACATAGAGGATCTGGAAACACTGGACGGCCGTTTCGTCCTAATATGGAACACCTCAACAGTGTGCATCCACGATCCCGCTTCATGGAATTTGAACTCAGGACGTATCGATTTTACTGAAACTGTCATATTATTTATTGAATATATAAAATGGAGTTAAAAATGGTAAAATAATGTATGCGAAACCTCTACTTCATTATCAATTGATTGATTTCTATTTAAATTATATTTTCTTTAAGCTTTTATGATGTCGACTATTCCGTGGCCACTGAATACTATTGGGGTAAAGGTTTAGGTTGTGATTTTGTAATGAAAAGCTGTTATGAATTTATTAAAAATAGAAAAAGGAGGCAAGTTGAATGATAATTTTTTATTTTTAGTTTTTTACACAATTACTAAATCTAAACTAAACCTCCTTCTGGTAATAATTAACATATGCTCACTAATGACTGCCTTCAAGTTGTATATCCTGGAGGTCTTGTGAGAAGCTGTGATCAGTGGAGTTAAACCGGGTCAGTTGTGAAATAGTAACTCACTGATGACAATGGTGTATGTGTCGCTCAATTTCGTGGATTAGTTGAAGTTAGAAATTAACACTCTTGGATGCCAGTCAGCTTAGTGGTCTAGTGGTTAAGTGCTTGCGCTCGAGACAAGTAGGTCCTGGGTTTGAATCTCGCGAGGTAGGATCGTGGATGCGCACGGCTAAAGAGTCCCACAAGGGGACGTAATAGCCGTCTAATGCTTCCAGGTTTTCCTCAGTGGTCTAGCTTCATTTGACTCATGATCTCAACAATTGAAATTACTGAAATCTCCACAAAACCCTTTACTAACAATTTATTACACTTTAGTTTTTAGAATTTTATAAGTATGTGACTACTTTAGGGAATTTTTTTGAATGTTCATCTTGCAGTTGTAATATGAGATATTTCAGTCAATGGATATTAACCTGTATAATATTCGTCTAACTACTGCATAATGATAGCAAGTTTCATTATGTTACAGTTTATAAACAAACAAAAATCTATTGTGTTTGTTAATTTAAAAATGTTAGGTTTTCATCAATATAAAATACTCAAGAGAATTGAATGTCTATTGTTTTAAAGATAGTAAACAATGGTTCCAACTGATTGATCACTGAGTAGTTACCAGTGTCTTGAAACGCTACTAATCGATGATCAATTAATCATATGTTCAGCTCTAGGGCGAAACAACCCGAAGTTAAAGCATATAATCAAGAAGATTGGCAACACAGGACTAATTCTATCAAGGGACATCATGTTCATTGATACACCTTATTGATGAGTGCAATATAGCACAAAACGTACGTGAGGATGCGTTGTCGGCCTATCTCAACCATTATCTTGCAGTAAACAACATTTCTAGAGATTGAAAGAAGCAATAAGAAGAGCATAGGTGATTGAAACAATCAATAAGTCTAGTATTTGTGGATCGCGTTGCTATAAAAAATAAAAAACGTCTTACTTACTTTGTAAACTACTTACGCCTATGACAGTTGGGAAAGAGCAGAAGATGCCCACCAACATCTTCCATCCGACTCTGCCTTCAACAATTCTTTCCACTTCTTTCCAGTTTCTATTCAGCATTTTCATGTCTGCTTCCAATTCCGAACATAACAAGTTGTTGCGTATCACACTTATCCGTTTCACTTCAAGATTCCATGCTACCGCTGGCCTCGTGATGCAGTCTGATGATTGCCCTAGTCTATATGCAATCCACTCTCATTATCTTTCCCCAATTTTCTCTTCATCTGATAGCTGGTTTGTTCTCTCACACAGTAGGTTATTGCTGATGATATGTGTTCAATCGTCATTGAGTATCATGTATAGATAATTGTTTAGAAATACTTGTATCAATTTGATAATGGTTGTAATAGTTTTTGGTTTCAGCTCCATACAGTAGAACAGTCATGACGTTTACATTGAAGACTGTGAACTTGATATTAGTTGACATTTGTGATGATGGAGAATATTTGTAGCTCAGGTGGATTGTTTGTTTTGAATTCCATGTTTTTTTTAGTTGTAGGGATACTGAACTTGTTTAGCTAATGTTTGCATTTCGGTGTGCATTGGATCATCCTTCTTCATTGATGACACTGTCCAGTTACGTGGACGTTTCTACCGCTTTCAAGGCATCTTCACCTTCTTGTCCATTCGTAACTCTCCAAGGTTTACTGCCAGTCTCGAGCCCGGGTACAGAAGGAGGGTTGGACATCTGTTCAGCAACTCCAACCAGCAGAAAACAACCTTGCTAAAAGCTCCAAAAGACGTCTGCATAAAATAAGTTATTTTTGGGATACCATCTGGGTTATATTTTAAGCAAGTTGCTCAGTACAAATATTCCTTAACTTCTATTACATGAGCGACTAAATTTGTAAGTACTTTGAAGACAAAACATTTTTTCAAAGTTAAACTGAGGTTCTTAAGTTCAAGTGCTGCTTGTGGGGTCGTAGATGTGCACTGTTGAGACGTGGCATACTAGAACGAAACGGCCGTCTAGTGCTCACAAATTTTCAATAGTGATCTAGCTTAAATCAACCCATAATTTCAACTGTTAAGTTATTTATTAATTTTTAAGTTCACCATATTCTTTTTTGAGAAGTCTTTTATTTTACCATCAAAAAAGCTTTGTTGTTTTCCAGTGGACAAGATATCCAGCCGTTCTGTAATAAACCAGATGAAATAAAATGCATGATTTCTGAAAATACACAAGGACTTTGCATGCTTTATAAACATGGTGTTGAAATAAAACCTGAATTCCAGTATGTGGATAACTCATTTAATGTACCTGCAAATGAACGAAAATATTATGGAGGTTGGGTAAACTTTGACTATTGCCCGGTGTTTAGTGTAAGTTATCACAGTTTAAATAAATTTTATTGACGTAAACATTGTGATATTGAACTTTATGTAAGATGTTTGTTGAAAGGTAAATAGTTTCAATTTATATAAGCTCATGAAACAGAAGAAGAGGAATGGATACAAATTTGAGTTAACTTACGAGTGCCTTCATTGTTGATACACTATCATACTCTCATAAACTTTATGAATACATATATATAAACCGTAAGGGCCTCAACCACATAACATGAGCGAAGTTACATAACTGATGGTGTAAATCCATACTAAGGATAAAAATATAATATCAGTGTATATGACCTTCAGTCGAAGCAGTGAACTTTGTTCCCAGAGTAATCTGATTGAATTTCCTCAAACTAATAATCGATTCAGAATAAGTCTAAAAACATTTGCCAAAACTTGAACAGTCTCAAATAAGTTGACATGACTGTTATGGGAGAACTGAAGACATTTGGCTGACTAAAATTTTTATATTAAATATTGTTAATTTCAACGAGTTCTTGGATGCGTTTGTTTTACTCAACTTCTGAACTTGTTTGTTTATATATTTATCTTCGGAAAATTCGGTTTTTTTTTATCTTTGGTTTGGAATTTGAGATTGTTTGCTCCGAGAACCTATAAAATCGAAGGTTTGTTTTGTAATTGTTATAATTATTGTTGTTGGAACGACATTGGGTCGACTATTTTTAAATTGCGAATAAACTTTGGTACCTAAATTGAAGTTTGGTTCTATTGTTAATTTGGGTTGGTAAATTGCGAATAAAACGATATGCCTTACTTTAATAACGGGAACGAGCAAGAACTTGGACGTAACAATGACGTTTATTGTACAACAGTTTATAGTATGCATCTTATTTTTTTAAAAAGTCTCGGTAATTCTCACGGTAACATACATTTTTACATAGGATGCCAGCAGTACTACAGGTCTTATTTTCTCAACACCCCCATGCAACAGAGGAAAGATGAGACAATTCAATGTTCAGTTTATGAAAAGAAGACTTGAGATAACATGAACTTTAATAGCTTTCTTCTAACTAGTAATATGGTTAAAATACTATTAAGAAAAGATATCTATGACCAACAAGGTGAAGAACTCGACAAATCCAAACAGAGACACTCAAAAATTCGTTGGTGAATATAAGAAAACTGAGGAAAACTAGTTGAATGTATCTGTAGTTAATAAAATATCAAGCTCTTTGTATGTTCTTCGTATTTTAAAGTTAATCATGTTGTATGAATAATCAACAAATGATTAAGCGCTACATTATTGAGATCAAATACTGAACTCAAACTACCAACCCTGTATAAGAAAAGAGATTTAAAAATTCAAACGAAGATCCTAAATGCTCTTTTTATGTCTCCCCTAATTATATCTATAAATTCAAACGTAACTAATAAGTCAACTATAAAAGGCAGACAGGAAGTTGGACTTGCTTTATATTTCTCTCCATGTCCCCATTAGTCTTCTCTATCTCTGGACATCTCTTGGACACAGGACGTCAGTTTGACACATTGATATCCTTCAAGGGAATAAAAATACTATTAATCCAGAGTTTTCGTAGACGCTGCTGTGGTTATTGTTATTAAACGTCAGACACGTGGTTAACATCCTCTAGCGTTGATGATAAATATTTCTTCATAAAGTCATAAAATTTCTGTTTACCTTCCTCTTTCTTTTGATTTGAACACTGAGTTTTTTCAACTTTTCTGTAGATTTGTAAGGTTACGATAACAAATTTTTACTCATTTCATTGTTGATTAATATCAGTATTTTTCATCACGTAACCAGTTATTTTAAGCCGTTCAGTCGTTTGATATTATCATTGTTGCTGAACATTTGTCTATATAAGACAGATATTTGGAATATTTTATATAATCGTTTGAATTCATACTGTCGCGAGGTAGGATCGTGGATGAGACGTGATGAGGTGCTCACCAACGGAACGAAACGGCCATCCAGTACTTCTACGTTTTCGATTGTGGTCTAGTTTTAATTGATTCCTGATCATAACCATTTAAATTCTGATATATGTTGAAAATGATTATTGACTGAACTCGTTTTTGTATAAGCATATTCAATCAGTTTCGTATTGAGGATTTGTAGTGTCGGTTATTTGTAAAGCCTATATGACTAATTCTAGCTTCTGAACAGGCCAATTTATTCATTCTTCTGGAGTCACATTTTGACCTTGTTAATCATTCACTTATCAACTTTGACTGGTTTTATATAAGCCTATGTGTGTGTTTATCTTATTCTATTCGTCACATCATTTCACAAATTCAGAAGAAAATTTTGTTTTAATAAACATGACTGAAATAATGTGAAAAATTTAAATCTGTTACTTTATAGGTAATCATATCAGGGAATGGTCAGAGATCTGTTTGTTAAAATAATGAAAATGAGAAACCATGGTTCGTTTGTAGAAGCATTTTATTTCTGAGTGTATATATATATATATATACTGCTTAATAAAGGTATTTATACTTAAGTATACTCAGTTTAAATTATTGTAATTTATGTGCTCAACTACCAATGTTTTCAACACGGACAGCATCATCGATGAATAAGGAGGATCCGATGCACACCAAAACGTGAGGATTCGTAAAGCAAGCATAGCATTCCTACAATTGAAGAATATATGGAACTTAAAACAAATGTCAAAACTGTCCGAGAACTACTGAGATCATTATCAAAATGACACAAACATTTCTAAACAATTATCTACACATGACGCCCAATGACTATTGAACACATACCATCAGGAACAATCAACTATGGGAGAGAACAAACCAGCTATCAAATGAAGAGGAAATTTAAAAAATGTGATAGAAGTGGATTGGATATTCATTGCGGAAATTATCAGACTGCATCACGAGGCAAGTGGTTCCATGGAATCTTGAAGAGAAACCTATAAGTGTGATACGCAACAACTTATTATGTCTGGAATTAGAAGCAGATATAAGATGGACGAGTAGTAATTGAAAAGAAACAGAAAGGATTGTTTAGGACAGAATTGAATAGAGGATGCTGATGAATGACCCCCTCGAGTGGTTACAAGTGTAATTATATAAGTTGGCATACAAATAATGCGACATATATGATTTCTTTAATATAGGTATATCTTTATCTTAATTTCAACAAAATAAAAGAGATAAGTTTCATTTGCTGTAAATAAAAATATGCTTAAATTAGTGCGACATACTCTCTCTGATCAGCTTTCGACAACTACTACAAGATTGTTCCCACTAACATTTAGTGTGATATGAGAGAAGTATCATATTCATTCCAACTATGAAGGAATCAGTAAGTCAGTCAGTCAGTCAGTCAGTCAGTCAGTCAGTCAGTCAGCTACAACGTAGGACCAGGTATATATATGCATCAGTTCAAGTTGCCATACCTCATTAACACAACAAGATGAACACCGGATTCATAGAAGTAGTTAATTAAGTAGTGGTAATATATAAAAGAAAGACTCCATATAATGAATTAGTACAGGTAGAAAGAATTAGTTCTTAGAAAGAAAGACATGTAATGATTTTGATCTCATAGTTTAAGAGAATACATAGTTCATAAAATTTTGAAATTCACTTGACTTTTTTGTGATCGTATTTTGTTTTATTGACTTTTTAACCAAATGATTACTACAATACACGAATCAAAATGTTGTAACTGTTTCATACTAAATTCTTCACTACTTTGACGTTTTAAAGAACATTTCTGAGATAAATAACCTAGTAGTTTGACTGTCCATTAATTGAAGTCTTTATAATGTATTATTTAGAAGCTTACTGATATATGTCAAGGAATTATGGTGAAGCAGGTTGATTTTGTTCATTTAAATGTTCAAAGCTCAATAAATGCCTTAAGTAAATACAATGACATTATATGTGTATATATAATTGTGCAAATGCCTCCAAATGCCCAGTTGGTACGGTCGAGAGTTGGGAGAGTCCGCTCTCCCTCTTGAAATGCTCTCACAGCCCTCACACATATCAAATGAGATCTGTGTGGCGTATATGTATTTGTTGTCTCCTTGCACCAATATTCATGTGTTAAAATAAATAAATAAATAATTGTGCAAAACATTAAAATTTTTGGATGACTATTTTTCGTTTATAATTCTTGTATTGTAGGATAATTTCCAAAGTTTATCAAAGACCATGAGATACAGATGATATCATGTATTCATTTGTCAACAATTTGTTACTTCATCACAATAATTATAATTGTTTTGCTTATTATAATACCTAACAGACATTTAAAGTTTAATGTGTGTTTTAATTTGAATCTAAGTATAATATATTTCATTTAAAAACCGTTTACTTAAACTCTTATATAATTGCTACATAAAAGTATGGGGTTGTGAAGATTGTTCAGATTTTGATTCAGATTATCAATCGATCGACGTCGGATCACCACTGGACGGTCATTTTGTCCAAGTTTTGGAATCTCCAGCAATGTGTAACTATGATCCCAGCCACGGCATTCAAACTCAATATTTTCAGTCTTGCGAGTGAATGTTGTTACATGATTGAAATGATGTCATCATCGATTGTTTATAAGAACTGTGTTGGGTTATCGATTAAATTACAAAATTATGTAAAAATTATATGCTCATCCTACAAAGAGTTACTAAATTCTTAGTATAAACATATGAATTGGTAGGCGCAATGTCACTTTCGGGTAACAAAATAGTTGAAGTATAATGAAGTGATGTAAATATGGCACGATTTTAGTCATTTAAAAGTGAAAACATTATCATAAATTTGTAAAATTATTACTAGTTTGATCGAAGAATACTCCAAGTCTGTGAACAGTTTAAAGATACTTAGCGTTCTCAAACTGACCAGTAGTATCGTTACAATGTACAGAATCGTCGAGCTAAAGAATGATGTATTGTTTTCTCGCTGATTACGGTGGTGGTTAATTCAAGAGGTCATGGTTTCTTATCATTATTTCTTAAGTCAAATATATCCGATGTGAGAGAATAATTGTTTCGCACAACTTTATTTCTAGCCTCCAC